AAACAGATTATATTAGTATTGCCTTATCAATATGAATTGAACTTAATTGATTTTATGCGTTAAATGTATTGTCAACGATTTTACAAAAAAGACCAAAAAAAAAAAAAATAATGATGACTTGATGACGACTCGATATAGGCAAACACGGATACTAAGTATATAAACAAAAAATGATAATAATGCAATGTTTACACAACATCAATTCAATTACCAGTTCAACAACAGAGCGATGTTGACGTTGTGGACAATGTAAACAAGATTTTGGGCAATGTTGACACGATGTCGACTCGATATCGACCAACATTGCGATGTCGACGATGTGAACGATGTAAACAAGAAAAATTAGAAGGGCAATGTTGACACAATGTCGACTCGATATCGACCAACATTGCGATGTCGACGATGTGAACGATGTAAACAAGAATAATAAGAGGGGCAATGTTGACACAATGTCGATATTGTTATCGATAACATTGCGATGTTGACGATGTGAACAATGTAAACAAGAATAATAAGACACAATGTTGACACAACGTCGACTCAATATCGACCAACATTGCGATGTCGACGATGTAAACGATGTAAACAAGAAAAATAAGAAGGGCAATGTTAATTGACACGATGTCGACTCCATATCGACCAACATTGCGATGTCCACGATGTGAACAATGTAAACAACAGAAAAGGGGGAAGGCAATGTTAACAAAATGTTGACGTTATATTGTTATACCATGTAATATATATATAGAGAGAGATAAACAAAGGAATTATTGTCATTTTAAGTATGTTATGATATTAGTATGACTGGTATTTTTACAGCGATGTCGACAATATCGAAAAAACATCGTGCACTGAACATTGAAATATTACAAATAAAATGATAATTAAAAACAATTTTTTTACCAGCTAATTTTTCTTAATTGATTTTTTATTAATTAAAAAAGGGGAGATATTTTACCAAAATTCAAGGTCATGAATTAAGACACATCCCACTAAACATACTAATATTTTAAATTAAGTATGTTAAAAACCTGTTATTCAATGCCTAAATATCTGTTATGTCTTCAATTTCATTGAATTTCTTCCTATTAGGGATTGAAGACCTTAACCGCACTGTTTATCGTTTGGTTCATGTACTTTTAGTTTGGAGTCGAGAGCATCATATGCAATGTTGTTGTTTGTTTGGTTTTTTTTTTTACCTCGCATTATACGATTCCTTTTTGTCACAATTTTTGTAATCAAATAATACCACCCTATATTAGTTAGGATCTCGGTCAATAGCAAGAAAACATAATATATTGAAAAAAAAATATATATGAAGTATTCTCAGATATAATCACAAGGAAACACTTCATGTGTTCGATTTTACATTATAATTAGCTCTAGAAATCGATTGAGGGTTAGCAAAGAAATAAAAAAGCTAAGTAAAGCACATGCCATCGTCAACGTCATTTAATTTCCATTCTCGATTACATCCAGCTAAATATACATGATTGCAGAGATAAAGAGTACACAAAAACAAGAACACGATGAATATTCTATGTGCATAATAATGATATGCGCAGTTGTATTGTTTGTGTATTTTTAGTTTCCTCTGCTCGTGCAATTTTAGATTTTTTGTTTGTGCATATTATACCCCTAAATCGTGTAAAAAAATTCGGATTCGTGTATTTTTCGTTATGTTTGTGTTAAAAACTTTCAAACTATGTGCAATTTTTATTTTTATTTTACTCGTGAATATTTTTCATCTAGCTCGTGATCGTTGTGCAAAAATAATTTTGAACCAATCGGCCTGCCATAATATACTCCTCGCCGATGTAATTTTTTACATGTGTGTAAAGAAATTGGTGAATAGTTAGAAGATAACTTGCAGGTATGTGTTTAAAAGATATACTATTCAAAACTAGTGCTAATTGTAACGGGAACCGTTACAGATGTTCCCCAAACGCTCCCCAACTCACTTTTGGTGCCATATTCCCTGTGAGCTTCATTAAATACGACAAATTCTGTGCATTTTTTACTTTCAACGTTTTCTCAGAAAGATACCAATTATTCAAATTTTAGCATTGCACCCGTGCTCATTTGAATGCATGCGCGTTATGACCATATCATCTTGTCTACACTATCTATCATTATATTTTGATATACTATATATTAAGCATTCAGTCCATAAATATTCAAAATCACTCATTCAAGTGTATTTTTAATTTCACTATTTCCAAATGCACGCACGTGCGTTCACGTGCATGATGACCATACCTTCTTGTAGGAGTCCCTAATATTTATGTATGTTCTAAATCCCATCCTGTTTGGTTGAAAAACAAGGGAGTTATAGCCATTTCAAGTTTCAAATCAGATTGCAGCATACTTGCATGCGCGTGATTTCTTGAATTTTTTTGTATATCATATTGCAGAATATCCTAATGTATAACTATGTTTTAAATTTCATAGCATTTCGTAAAAAAACAAAGGGGATGTAGCCATTTAAAGTTTCAGCCAATCAGATTGCAGCACACGTGCATGCGCGTGATTTCTTGATTTTTTTTAAAAAATCAAATCGCAGGGTATTCTAAAGTATGACTATGTTTTAAATTTCAAATCATTTCATCAAAAAACAAAAAAAGATATAGCGTTTTAAAGTTTCAGCCAATCAGATTGCAGCACACGTGCACGCGTGAAAATATTTTTGACATCATATTGCTGATATTCTAAAGTATGACTATTTTTTAAATTTCATTTTTCATTTCATCAAAAAACAAAGAAGATATAGCCTTTTAAAATTTAAGCCAATCAGATTGCAGCACACGTGCATGCAATCGTGATTTTTTGAATTTTTTTTTATATCATATTGTAGAATATCCTAGTTCATGACTATGTTTAAAATTTCAAAGCATTTGTGTTAAAAAACAAAAGAGATATTGAAATTTATGTGCAGCCTATTTTTGCATGCGCGTGAGTTTGTGCTAATTTGACCATTCATTTATCTACACTATTAATATATACTTATATAATGAGTTTCAAAGCATTTCATCAAAAAATGTAAAAAAATGGCCATATTGTATATCAGTCATTTCACTAACTTAAAAACGCCCGCACGTGCAATTTTATGCGGGCAAAATGACCTTCGTTCCGCACACCTAATACACACCCATTAACCCTAAAAAGGTTTTAACTTAGTTTGGTGAACAGTTTCTGGAACACTTCCGAATAAAAGTACCGGAGAAGAAATAAGTGAAAAAAGAATAATAATAATAATAAGAAACAGAGTAAAAACAATATATTCAAAATTACATGATGTCATTGTGATGTCATTTGTCAGTACCCTGTGCTACAATCGGTATAAAATCTACAATTTACAAAGTTTTAGTTGACCTGTGTCGGCCTATATCGGATGCGGTGCCGCCATCTTTTACAATCTAAAATCACAAACAAAGGGAATATTGTCTTAGAGTATATAGGCCAGTTTCTTATATCCTCATTTAGTAGTTCAGTAACAGCTGAGTGACAGTACTAGTTTCATGAATTATTCCAGTCCTATCAGAAACACATATTTTATGTCTTCTAATTCCATGCACATGCATGTGTACTATAATTAGTTTACCAATGTTGGCCAACACTACACCTAACATACAGGGAAATCTCATTTTACGGTATGATACATGTATATTATCTTTTTGTAATTATCAGTACATGTGTACAAAGAGGGCAGTATCCATTTCATATTCGAGTACTGCATGATTAAAATATACAAGCTAGGATTTCCCACTACCCAAGGCAGGACCAAACTCCGTCCTCATTCACAGGTGCAAAAGGCCTCCTTTCCCACCTAAAAAAAATCCTGCTTTTCTCCCCAAACAATAAGTTGCATTCAAAATTTTATCGGAATCGAAATACGCTAAAACAAACTAGTATAAACAAAAGCATCCCAGGTTGGAAATGATAAGTTATTTAAAGATTTCAACATAGAGCGACATGATTCTGATATGAGCTTGAAAGAGTTGTTTTGGTAGGTTTTGAGGATAAGAGTAAAAGGTATTAAGAGTTAATATGTATAAATCCATGTGATATGTTTATGGTCGTTTCTCATCAATTCGTGGTACCCATTGATTCTTGGTATTTTCTTTTTCCGTCATTGCTCATGCGTAATGCACTATTCTGAAAAATCGAAAGTAGAGTTCCTGATGTAAGCAATTATTTTAGGGGAATAATTCAACTAAAATGACGGAAAATTCGGTACGTAATGCAAAAAATATTTGCAACAGCTGCTTCCGTTGATTCCAGTAATAACAAACAAAGAAAGCATTATATAGTTTAAATCAATGTATTGTGGAATCACCTCTTTTGCATGCATATAAACATTACACAACAAAACAAAACTGTTCACCGATTAATTTAATTGTCATTACAATGTATGTAGGCATACAATGTACATGTACGGCTCTGCAAATCGTTATAGCTAGTTTCTTTCTTCTTCACATAATTGTCCTATCTTCATAACGAATATAGATATCTTTAAATTTTTTATTATTTGTAGTAGGCATAACAATTGTTTTTTTAAAATTCTACCAGTATTTCTTTTCCTGTAAATTTTCTCATAAATTTTTCCTTTTTTCTTTTATTGTTTTTATTTTATGTCGGAAATTGTAACGAATAGAACGTAGTGATACTTTCTTCTTTTAAAATAAATGAAGATAAATAGTTTTTTCAACTTTTTCAAAAATTTTAAATCTTATGTTTTACTAAGTACACCATTTTTTTTTTTTTTGTACTTTTGTAAACAAACTAAGAAAAAGAAAGGTGTCTTGCTTACATTTTTCTGCTTGGGTAAATGTGAAAAAATTTATTTCTAAATTTTCTCTTACAGCTAGTACATTAAATTTTATGGTTTTTAAGAAAGATCACATACCTTGCAGGATAAATTCAAAGTAAAGGTATTTTTCTTGTCGTAAAATCCATCTATCTCTAAAATCAAATGTATATATGCTTGTTGCACACAGGTAGACTTATTAAATGATCGACCTGCAGCAGAACATCCGGGTTTACAGTTTACGTGGCCTTCTTTCTTACTGGTAAGAATTAATGCTTTCATAAAACAAAAGTGTTTCTAAAAATCTGACGTAAGACATTTCCGACATATGTTTAATTGTCTTATATAATTGTTAGTTGTATTTTAGTTGAATTTTTGTCGTATATACAAACGATAAAATGTGTAAAATGTTTTAAACCTAAACATTGTTTGAATTAGAATACCTTAATAAAGTAAAGAAAAGTAAACTAGATTAAATAAATTACACACTTTTTAATTGTTCATAAACTTAATATTTGTTCCTGTAATCGCAGGATGTTGAACATATTCAATTTCAGTTTGTCGGGATGCAGGAGAAAAGGCCATCAGCAGTGCCTGTGTTGGTATCAGTATCTCTCACTTTTTGCCTTTATGTTTGGGCCATTATCACACCCGGATGGTTGATTATAAAATGTACAAGAGTACTACCTGTATCAGTTCATAAGGCAAGATATTGTATTGAATTGCTATAAGCTTACACAGATACTTTTATGAGACGCCTGGACTGTCTAATGTAATTCAGTCTAATGTAATTCAGTCATTATATGGTGTGCACTTGTCATAATGGGAAGTGCATCTTCCATAAATCGTGTACTTTTACTAGCTATTGTATGGCAAGTAAAGCGTTGCTTTATTCGATAATCTTGCGATTTATATTCAAAATCTTGTTATGTATACTTTCATTATTTCTAACCAATGGAAATTGTCCTTACTTTCTTAGAATACTATTGCGTCATATTACCCATAATACAATACTATTGCACGCATCACTAAATTGTAAAACATGCATCACAAGATTTTGAATTAATATCATAAGATTTTGAATATACATCACAAGATTTAGATCATACATCAGAAGATTGTAGAATATAGATCACAAGATTTCGCGCATACACCACAAGATTATAGAATATAGGTCACAGGATTTCGAATATATGTACATCATGCACAAGATATTGACCATACATCACAAGATAATAGAATATACATCAAGTTTTTGAATATACATCACAATATATCTAACAGACATCACAAGATTTGAATATACATCACAATATATTTAACATTCACCACAAGATTTAAGAATATACAACACAAGTTTTTGAATATACATCACAAAATATTGAACATACATCACAATTAAGATTTTGAATATACATCAGAAGATTTTGAATGTACATCACAAGATTTAGAATATACATTACAAGATTTAGGACATACATAACAAGTTTTTGAATATAAATCACAAGATTAGGAATATACATGACGTGATTATCGATACCAGTACGCCCTGAATGTATCGTATGGGATCTTTTTGTGATGTGCAACGCCAAGCTTTATCTTGTTGATAATGTAAATGTCATCTCCTTTCGAATATATTCAACAATAAATGACTCAAATATAAAACGGATATGGATATATTGATTGAAATATTTTATTGAAATAGCATTTAAATAAATTCTATACTGAACAGATATTATGGATGTAAGTTTTTTATTCCATTTCTCCCAGAGTTAAAGATAACCATAGCTATGGGCAGGCTCTGCTTAAATTATACTACATACATGAACGCGGATCTAGGAATTTTAAGTGGCGTTCAAATTAATGCAATCTACTCCAGAAAATATATCTTAGGATTTTTTTGACAAGTATAAGGGAAAAAACTCGTAAAAACTTTTTTTCAAAAGCCTGACAAATGGCAACCTGTTTGAGGGATGGAATGGGTTTGTGCTGCATGCATATCAAACAAAAAAAAAATGAAAATGAATTAAATTTTGAGAAAGGGGGTCAAGTTACTAAACTTACATCATATAATGATAAAAGCAGATCAAAAAAAGAAATATTTACATCATAATATTATTTTTGTCAAGAAATTACTTACCATTGTCACTTACAATTTACTCATAATGTTACAGGTTACGAAACATGACTCAAAAGAATGTGACCATTATTTGAGACATCAATAAAAATGTTATTTATGTCTCTGCTGCCATTATGGTGTTTGTCGAAGAGTACATTAGATTTTTTAAAATGCTGATGAACGTTCACTCGGCTTGATAAGATGTCTATTCAAGTAATGATGTGAAAATGAATATCCATTGCCTTGATTCTGAATAATCATTCAGTATTTGAAGAATAAATGTTCTTGCAGATACCTCTTCTATTACGAATGTTTTGTTACTAACAGTGATATATGTTTATATAAGTTCTATCCACAGGCCTTTAGATCGCTTTAAAAAAAATTGAGGTGATGAAAAAAAATAAAGGTATGGAACTCTTTTCATAGGGTACCTACTTTCGCCAATAAAATTCTTTTAAATCAAATGCTTTACAATCTTACTTTTTATCCATATCTATCCATATATAAAAATCTTCATTAATACCAAATTTCATTCCGTAATTCCTTCTACTTCTCAAGATACTCTGAAATAAATTCCGAAATCGACCTTATTTTTTTCACTCGATATCAGCTTGGGCCCTGCACTAATTATGAAGCGGGAACGACAGGAAAAAATTTCCCCGGAGTTTATTCTAAACTAAATGAATATTCGCTCATTTGCATTCGAGCTTTACATGGTTTTTCTCTAATTGGATCATATGATCTTACTAAGTCACAAACGACATTTTAGCGGTCTAATTGCTCTAAAAATCGAAAGATATATATTTATATATGCATTCCGGGGAAAAATCGTTCGACCATAGCTTCTGTTACGTTTATAATCAACATGGCGGTGTAGTTGTTGATGCAGACGTTTTTAACTTAATTTTCCGCGAAAGGAATTGATACGGACTTAACCTTACAATCCTAAGCAAGAAATCAACTTTAAAATGTTGAAAGATCTTGCAAATGCTATGCAACTCTTCGCTGCACCTCAAACACCTTTGTGTTTTATATGTAAATGGCTAGGGGTCCAAGCTAATGTCGAGTAAAATAAAGTAGGTCATTTCTGAGATTGATTTCAAAATATCTCGAGAAATATAGGGAATTTTGGAATGAGCTTTGGTAGAAATGAAGAATTCACCTATGAATAGATTTAAATAGAAAGTAGAATTTTAGAGTTTGTGAATAAAAAAGATATTTTAGCAGCGAAATTCGGTTCCCAGTGTAAGAGTTCCATACCTTTATTTTTTTTTTTTTTTTTTTTTTTACACACAATATTTTAGCGACCCAAAAGCCTGTGGTTCTATCAAAACAAATTACTTTGATAAATTAACATGCCTTTTTTCTGTTTTAGTATAACCCCCTTGTACGCTCTCTGTTGAACGGTACATCTGAAACTCTGAATACTGAAACGGTAAGAAACCTCATTAACAAAGTCAACATTAATTCCTTAACAAAACTTTTTGAATGTTGATTATGATACATTTATAGCCTACAGTACATGTATATGTGACTTCCGCCGTCATCAGTGCATATTTTTAATTGAAAGTTAATTTATCATGATGAATAGGATAAAATATTTAATACACGCATGATGCGTGTATATTTATTTTTCTTTACATATTTTATAAGTTATTCATGTGATGCATTTATTTACAGCAAATTTTCACATGAAAGCATCTAATTTAGATTTAATTTTTTTTTTCGTTTCTTTGAAATAAATACGAAAAAATTCATATAAAATACTTGAGAGCTAATGTCGGCCTTTTAATGCTGAAACCATTGTTTAAAAAAGGTTGACTCGGAGATCTATAAAATTAAAAGTTGGTGTGGCATTCCTCCTTAAACCATAAGCATAAAATGCATAAGTACAGATTGTTAAGCAAAGATTTACATGTATATGTTGGAATAAAAAAATCGCCAATGCAGTTTGTTAAATGATCTGAAACTACATGTATACTTCCTATTTGTTGTATTCTAATAATAAAAAGATTGTTTCAGATTGTGCAACTAATTTCTCACATAAATTCAAGACAATCTCTCCAAAATAACGTTTTAGGAGGGATGATGGGCAAAAACCCCAAATAAACAAGCTTGACTTACGAGCGTATGCTGAGGAGAACGAATGAGGACAAATAAAAAGAAACAAGATCATCAGGTGGATCAAATAACATTGACAGGAATGTGAAATAAACGACAATAGAAATCAGATGTGTTCTTTTTGCCATGTCAGATCTTTGAAATACTGTAAACCGTGCTTTATTCGCTAGAATTTAATTTTGGATTCGCTTAACAATCTGCTCACAAAAATTAAATCCTCGCCATTATTCTTATTTGTTAATGATATAAACCATGAAAATTTAAGAGAAAGTTCCGCTTATTAAAAAGAATATATGTAAATATTATTTAGATTTTATGATTGAATGAATGCTTTATATTTTATCTACTCCGAGTCTATTTTTTTAAATCTGGATAAATTACTCTCTCTTGCAACCTAGTAGTCTGTTAGGGTAGTACTCGTAAACAAAAGCAAAAATGACGGAAAAAACACTGTGTGAGCAGTTAAATCATACAAATCATGCAGTAACAATGATTGCAATTACAGGTATTTCAATGAAATTATTTTATATCATCGAGAGCTAAATAAAGATTCTGAAAACATATATTTACTTTGTAGTTTGCAAAATAATTTACGAAATCTTTCCAGATTAAATATTCTCTGGAGATGAGCATCTTTTACGTCAATGAATGTGATTCTGGAGCATGCATACAAGTGGACTACAAGAAACTCTTCATCCCCTCAGAATCAACAAACAGTCTACGTAAGTCAGCAATTCATTAAATTGAAACCGGAAAATTTTCAATATTTTGTTAAAGATTTACGATCAACATAATCATATAAAGAGTACATTTCTTTCCTGTTATGTTAAAGTAAGAATCTTTCATTCCCCAAACTTCGCTAAAAAGAATTGACTCGAATGCATCCATTTGCAAAAATCTATTTTGCATTTTTAAGAAATAAAATCTTTATTTTTAGGCTATAGTTGCGTTATTAAATGTATAAGTTGCAGTTACGTGTAAAGTTTTACGTAATACGTCACGTCACGATTTACATTGACAGTTGCGCTCAAGGTAAATAGTACAAGCCTCCTAACTGCAAGCTTTACGACTGGAACTTTCTTCCAATCCTTCATTTGTCGCTCAAGCAACAAACTATTTCCATGTCAATGTTCTTAATATGAGTTGACTGATCACGTAAATTGTTTATACCGGATGCATTTGTCGAAAAAGATCGTGACGTTATGCAAAACTTCACACTTAACTGACATTAATAATATTTCCTCCCTTTTTTAGCTGACCTAATGGAAATTAAGATTGAGGGCACTTCTGTTTTGGATTTTTGTGTGATTGGCTTCTTTTTCCTGCTCTTGAACTTTGGAAATTCTTCTCGAGTCGTAACAGGGGGGCTTTGTGTGCTTTTGGCCGGTAAGACAATGTCAGAGCTTAGCTGGACGTCAATTCCAGTCATAAAGTAATGCATGCAAAAAAAAATATAATATTGCGTTCCTGTTATCGAATTGAAGTTTTCTTATATCAAGTATTTAATAATCTTTTTTTAAAGCTGTTGTTGAATCTATTATGGTTTACCGAATGGGCATGGCGAACACAACAACAAGCGAATTTTTAGATGCCATCGATTTAAGCTGGGATTATAATAGTATTTCAATGGATTTCCCTTACTCCATCGTCATTGCCAGTATTGGCATATATTCCAATGTCATTGTGTTGTACCTCTGTGTAGATTTGTACACCAAAATTAGACGACAGCAAACCACAGACGGTCGAAAGCTGAAATTATGTACGATCTTCAATTCCAACAAGTTTACAATTCTGCGAGAAAGCCAAATTACAGAGATGCATCATCTATATCTTTAAACATATCATGTAAATGTGCAAAGAACATCCTACTAGCATATGTACGATGCTTGATCCAAAAGTAATGTCACATTGTCTATATCTTTTATATTTGGCGTCATATTATTAAATATACTAAGTAACATGCCAAAAATATGCACTGATAAAAATCTAATTAACATTGAAATTTTGGTTTAATAATGTTGACTTAAATTCATTTTATTTTTGATTATAAACAGTAAGGTTTCACTCTGAGGCATTGAACAAAGGACTTGTCAAAATGGGGGTGAAAGTGGGGAGTCGCAAGGAGTTGTAATATATTTTGCATTTTTACTTCAAACGGGGAAATTACTAGTAGAGAAAGTTATATTGGTTTATCAGACTCACAGTGAAAAGAATGTTTTAAAAAGTCTCTTTTCTAGCTGGTTTCAGCGATTTTGGGACGGTTTGATGGGCCATTGAATGATCAGCAGAGGACAGGAAGACCAAAGGATGAGAGGTCAAACGGAAACGTATAGGAGTAACTGGTGTCTGATGTTGTCAAAAGACATGAGTGTATCCTATTACATGTATAGCAAGGGATATGAATACTTTGTCTCGTGTACTGATAAAGAAATATTGACAAAGGACTTAATTATAAAAAGAGTGAATGTACGAGTGGCCTAACCAAGAATTCTTTAAAAATAACAAATTTTTGAACATGTTCGTAAATCTCAAATATTTTTTTATTGAGACACGTTTCAATGTTATTCTCTTGAAGTTGATGGCGCGTTTGAGGGGAAAATTAAAACAGGCCATTAACTTCTCAGTAGAGAATAGTTGGAATGTATGACGGTGTGTATCCATTATATATGACGTTATTTAGATGCGGCGACTTCCAAGCGGTAGCGCACTTTATATATAAATGCCATCATATAAAATGTATTAATCATGTTAAATTGAAATTTTCAGGTCTGATTTGAAATAAATGTAGTTTTCATCATGATTAATTTTGTTGTTCTACGTCGACTAGAAGAAATTCAATTAAATTCACATACTTGTGGTTGATTGGTTGATTTTATCTATATTTTTGAACGTCCTTCTCGAGAACTTTTCACTCATATGGAGACGTCACCACTTGCCGGTGGAGAACTCCAAATTTTGTTCTATACTCAGCACTCAGGATCATTGAGCAGGGAGAGATTTCGTGCTAGCACTTACTGCGACAAGGGACCTTGGTTTATATGGTGTGACCTGAAGGACCGGTCTCCACGTCCCGCAGTGGGATTCGTACCCGCGACGTAAAGATCAACGCCTTACTCCGCGACTTTAGAGCAGACGCTCTAACCGCTGCACCACGCGGGCGACTTTTAAATCAACCCTCGTAGTCGGTGTTTAGGACCAGGTATTAATTATTGAAGGAGAAAAATCAAGTTGAAATCAGATTTTTAACGTGCATATTTTTGTATGTTTGCATAAGACGAAAAAATGAAATAGGAAAGTGACGAAGGGTTCCACATCACATTCCCTTTATTTTATCAACTGAATTTTGATTTTTCTTCATATAAATAATTCTTCTTTTTCTTAAAAAAAAACCTCGGTTAACACCTTATTACATCTGCAACAACCCAACAAAATTTAGTATCCTTTATACTTGAATGTGAATAATTTTTTTCATTACTAACATTTTTGTTTGCGAATGGTAGAGCGTGTTATACCAATTTTTTTTCTAACAGATTTTGTACAAAGCGTACGTGCAATAAAATTTTTAAAAATATGATATTTTGTTTTTGTATCCTATTCAAAATATTTGCAATTGATGTAAAGAATATAAAATAAAATAACTATATATAACAAAAAGAGGAATGTTACAAATACCGCTTTATCAGTACATGTATAGAAATTCTCCTAACGTGCTTATTTATTGCTAAAGACAGGGTATAAAGTTTACCAAACTCTGCATTTTTAAAACTTTTTCTTTAGAAGAAATCAGATGTTTAAATTTACACTGCACTGATCATTAAAATCACCTATATTTTATTGTTATTATTTATAAAATGGGATCGTTCACTTGATTTGCAAACCCAATTTTATAGGGGTGTCTTAAGGGTCAATATTTTGAGGGAGGTTTTTTTTCTCAATTTTTTAAGTATACGTGTATTTAATTCCTCTATCAATTTATTGTGCTATCACCAATTTTGCATGCATATAAACATTACACAAATTTAACAAACCAAAAATGTTCACCGATAAATTTAATTGTCATTACAATGTATGTACATGTAGGCATACAGTATACATGTACGGCTCTGCAAATCCTCATAGCTAAAGATTCTTTCTTTTACACATAATTGTCCTATCATCATATCCAAAATATATATCTTTAACTTTAAGATTATTTGTAGTAACAATTATTTTTAAAATTATACCAGTCTGTCTTATCTTGTTAATTTTCTCAGACAGAGTTTTTTATTGTTTTTATTTGATGTCAGAAATTGTAACGAATGAAACGTAATGAAACTTTCGTCTTAAAAAATAAATGAACATACTTGTTTCAACTTTTTCTAAAATTTATTTTACATATTACATAGTACACCATTTGTTTTGTAGAAAATGAAAGGTATCACGTCTACCTTTTTCTGCTTGGTTAAATGTAATAAAATTTATTTCTAAATTGTCTCTGACAGCTAGTGCATTCAATTTTATGTTTTAAAAGAAAGATAAAAAACACATGAAGCTGCAGGAGAAATTCAAAAAAGGGTATTTTTCTTGACATAAAATCCAGCTATCTCTAAAATCAAATGTATATATGCATGTTAAACGTTAACACAGGTAGACTTATTTATTGCTCGAACTGCAGCATAACGTCCGGGTTTGCAATTTACGTGGTATTTTTTCTAAGGTAAGTACAATATATATATTTTCCATATGAAACTAGTCAGGAATTAATGCTTTCATAAAACAAATGTTTTACTAAAAATCCGACGTAGGACATTTCCGAAATACGTTTAATTGTCTTATATAATCGATAATTGCTTTTTAGTTGAATTCTCGTTGTACATACAAACGATAAAATGTGTAAAATGTTTTCAACCTAAACATTGTTTGAATGAGAATACCTTAATAAAGTAAAGAAAATAAACTTAGTTTACATAAATTACACATCTTTTTATTGTTAATAAATTAAACTTATTTGTTCCTCTAACCGCACGATGTTCGCAATCATATTCAATTTCAGTTTGTCGGGATGCATGAGAAAAGACCCCCAGCAGTGCTTGTGTTGGTGTCAGTATCTCTCACTTTTTGCCTTTGGCTTGGGGCCATTGTCACACCCGGATGGTTTATTATAAAATGGGAACGTACAAAAGCACTGCATGTATCAGTTCATAAGGCAAGATATTGTATTGAATTACTTTAAGCTTAATATTGTTCAATATCTTGTGATATATATTCGAAATCTTGTGATGTATGTTCTACAAACTTGTAATGTATGTGCAATATCTTGTTAATGTATATATTTAAGGATTCACTGTCTAATTAGGAGAGTATGCCAGGGCATCAACAATATAGTGGGAAACATGGGATAATTTGCATATAGGGCGAAGCCCGTTATGCTAAAATTATCCCGTTTCCAACTATTTTTGATGTCTCTGGCATACTTTCCTAACTAAACAGTGATTCCTTATATTTCCATTTTTACTTGAAATAACAATCTTAAAATAAATCAAAATACCGTCTAATGTAGTAGATTTGAAATGCATGAGGCATCCCATGTTATTTTCCATTGCTCCACCCCTTTACGTCAAATATTACTATAAAAAAAAGTCCCATACAAACTCGAAACAAATTTAATGATTATTTAGTTTTACTGCAGTCAAATATCAACATTTGTAAGATAAACAACAAAAAAATTTTACATTACAATCAAATCAATCTTGCTAATTTAGATTTTATATGTGACCTAGATTTTGGTTGTCGGAAGCATGAACACGTGTATAGGCCCTGGGCCACTTCTCTGCCGCCATATTGAATGCAATGTTGCAGTTGATGAAACAGGAGTTGGTCAGCATGGTCAGGAAACGGAATTGTGTGTTTAAAATAATAGAGGACGTTAAATTGCGTAAGAAGTTGGGTGGTAAATGACTGAGGGACAATGTTTGTATTGGATGATCTATGTGGCAATGCCGATTTCTCCACGTGGTTCAGATTGGTTGCTTACCATGTTTACGGAAGTGAAGTTCTCGGTCTCGCGAGGCCTCGGTGATAATGGACAGCGTTGCGCCAATGACTTGCTTTAGATCCGAAGATAATTCATTATTTGTTTTGTTTGTAAAAAGATATATCATACGAGGGTTGTTCAAAAATTACGCGGACTGTGCTATTATTTACTCTTATAGACGTCATATATAGTTATGAAACTTCACAGAAGTATGTATCTTAAAGAATCCACTAAATTTTGGGCAACATTTTTGTATTTTAAAAAAATTCTACTAAAATTATCGGTTTGTTGATATCGCTTATGGAGAGGTACGGAGCACGACAAAAAATTTGAAGCAAACACATGCGGAATCCAAAACTTAACTCATCAATTTTCTATAATTCGCGATATTTTTCGACAATTTTCTCAAATGTATCTTTAAATTGTTTTATTATTGTGTATTTAGATTTCTGACGTGATATTTGAAGTACAAAGAGAAACATAGGTATTTTTCTCTTATGCGATTTTCGGGTAAACGACTGAAAATGACGTCTCGTGAATTGACGGCGCACCACGTTTTTGTTAAATTATGTGTAATGCTCGAGATATCGCCAACATAGATCAAAACTATGCATAATATAACATGTAGTTAACTAGGTTATTCGTGACATTCGTCCACAAAAGGAAATTGAAATTTTATACCGTTAGACCTCTGCAAAAAGGCTATACGGGAGGACGGGAAGAAGGTTATCGACGAAAACTTTATCCCGACTGTAAAGAACGTGATTGAGAGCCACCAATATTACACTATATCTCATAAATACCTGCAGCTTTTGGTTTTAAAACACAAAAAAGATTTTATTTTTATTTTTTTAATAGATTTTATGTTTGACAAGAAATAGTGTTTGGATGTTGAGTAGATAAGGTAACTCAAACAGTACAGGTACTCTTTGGAAAATGTTTAGAAAATGAAAGCTGAATCCCATTGTTTTTTTTTTTTTATAAATGCCTTATGCCTGTGACGTCGAAGGTTTTGTTGCTCCGTGACTTAATGGTATGCCCTGAAAAATCACTTAAAACTAATACCAATTCACAAGATTTTGATAAGAGAATTTGAAGACCATATAAGTAAAGATATTTTTAGAAATTTACATGCCACAGGAATCACGAAGAAATGAACAAGATTCACTTTTGTATTGTTTGTCATAGAGAAAACAGTTGGAAATGGAAATATTCTATAATCTTGTGATGTATATTTAAGGAAGCACTGTCTTGTTAGTATAGTATGACAGGGCATAATTTGCATTACGGGCGAGGCCCGTTATGCATAAATTATCCCATGTTTCCCACTATTGTTGATGTCCCTGGCATACTATACTAACTAAACAGTGATTCCTTATATACTGATGGAAATTAATAAGGGAACACATAAAGAGCAAGAGCCATCTTTTGCATAAAATGGCCCTGTACTTATATCAATTAATTAACTATCACCCTCTTTCCATTTTCATATATCAAAATAAAGTAGACACTTGGTGCTTTCATGTTCTATAACGAAATTTGTTTTTGAGAATCCAAATATTTGAAAACGGGCTTTGAGAAATTGCAATGTTCTTGAAATTTGCAGAAAATATGCTTATTTGACTACCTTCAGCAAAGAATTTAAATATGAGCACAGCCCACGATCCAAAAATTAAAACATGTTTTTTGATCTTCAGAAATAGGCCTTTCATTATGTATTGGCATATTTTGGATCAGAGGTTGTGCTCTATACAAAATATTGAAAAAAACGCTTCATCTCTAGGTCATTTTCAAAGGAATTTACAGGATATGAGGAAAATGACGCATTTTATGACGTCATTATGCATTGAATACATGTGAAATTACGTCACAATTTAAAGATAAGTGGTCACCAACAGTCCAAGTAATAAATACTGCATTTGCAACCTAAACTGAGCGGTTTTGAATTTTCAGAAATTCTCAGGGCCAAATAAAGCCCAAAGTGGCTCTACCTCTTTATAGGTATATTTGCTTTATTGTCAGTGGATTCTAATCAAGTATATTTGACTAAATACATGTTTTCCAAGTACAGTTTTAGTATCTAGTGTGTCCTCCCTGCTTTTTGATCACTTCCTCACAGCGTCGTGGAACACTCTGTATCAACTTGGACCGTATTTCAGCTCGAGGAATTGCACGCCACTCTTCCTGAAGAGCCTGGAACATGGCATCAACTGTCTGGGGTGGGGCATCACGGTCCCTTACCCGACGTCCAAAAACATCCCAGAGGTGTTCAATGGGGTTGAGGTCTGGACTTTTGGATGGCCATTGTAACACTCTGATGTTGTTCTGCGTCAGACAATCCCTGCTGACGTGAGACGTGTGGGGTCGAGCATTGTCGTGTTGGAACTCAAAATTTACGCCCACTCTTTGGCGGAAAGGAAGAACAACAGGCCGCAACACTTCATCTCGGTAACGGACACCAGTCACCCTTTAATCCAGTCGAACAAGGTCAGTTCTGTGGTCGTAGGTTATGCCACCCCAAACCATCACCGAACCACCACCATAGGAATCATGTTGTTTGATGGTACACTGATAATGACGTTCACGAAGGCGTCGCCAAACGCGAATCCGACCGTCTGCAAAGTACAGATTGAACCTAGATTCATCGCTGAACATGGTATAGCGTCAGTGTCGAAGTTGTCTTGCTTGATGTTGTGTAGCCCATGCTCTTCTTAGACGCCTGTGTTTAGCAGTCATCCTCACTCCAACAACAGGACGACGTGACTCTAGACTCGCTGCTTTAAGTCTGTTTCTGACAGTACGGTCACAAATTCTTATTCCTCTTGCTGCCCTGAACTCAGAGTTTATTTTCGATGCTGGTTTGAACCTATTAGTATTACGTAGGGAAAGCAGCACCATGCAGCTCCCGGTCATTACGCGCTGTTGTTTTACGTTTGGAACCACGACCTGATCTAATTTTTACGCTCCCTGTCTGGCGGTACCGGTTCCACAGACGTGAAATCACACTTTTTGACTTGTTAAATTGTCTAGCAGTCTGGCATATTGATTGGCCTCCGTTAATGCATCCAATAACCTGCCATTTTTTATTTTCAGAAAGGTATGTTCTTGGCATGATTCTCAAAGTACGGGTATACTGACAATTGTCGTCTACTGAAGTGTTAAATGGGCGTAATCATGCGTGAAAATCATGGAAATCAATTTTCAATAGCAGGAATTCTTATTGAGAAAAAGAAAACCTAAAACTTTCTGTTCACAAAAGCTACATAGAGCCTCGAACAAATGAGAGATGCTAAACATTAGGTAATAGTAAATATGCGTTCCCTTATTAATTTCCATCAGTATATATTTCCACTTCATTGTGAAATAAAATTGTAGATTTAGACTTTAAAAATGCAGACATAGATTTAAATTACACGAGGATTCCCATCCCAATTTCAATAGGCCTCGCCGACTGACGTCAAACACAACGGCAGCCGCACGAAATTTTCATGCATATTTGGCCTCCTTAGCATAAGACTCAGAGACAGATGCGCACGAGATTTGCATGCATACTAGGCCTCCTTAGCTCCTGACCTATCGACCTGCCTTATTTACATTCCGGCAGAATTATCAAGAAATCAACTCCACTTACTTCCAAAGGGTTATCATAGAGAAAAAAAATTAGAAATGGAAATATTCTATAATCTTGTGATGTATATTATATAATCTTTTGATGTATATTGATTTCTATAATCTTGTGATATATGTTCAAAATCTGGTGATGTATACATTCATTATTTTTAACCAATGAAAATTGTCATAACTTTCTTAGAATATTGTTGGGTCATATTACCCATGATACTATTGCACGCATCACTAGATTGTAGAACATACAATGTACATCACAAGATTTTGAATATACATAATAAGATTATCGAATAAACATCACAAGATATTGAATTTACATCACAAGATTTTGAACATACAGGGTGTCCCAAAACATATGTTACACTTTTAATCATTTACAACTTTATCAAACCAAAAGCATTCGCAGATATTTTGTCAACATGAAGTGTATTAGTATACATTTTATCTGACAAACTTTTGAGAAATTCTATCAAAAATAAGTTAATTATGATGTCCTTATGACGTCATCATATTTTTTAATATGGAACCTTCATGAGATCAGAGAACAGCTGGTATAATTTGTAGAACTTTACTATGGGTCTAAATCTTCTACTTTAGTCATTAGTACCATGTGAAAAACAACATCCTGTAATAAAATTACTCAACAGAATACTAATTTACAAATTTGTGAAGGAGTTTGAAGTTAAAGGCACCATAAATGACACATATGACTTAATTCTGGCATTAGAAGACCAAGGGTGCCCGTACCATAGAGAACATTCATCTCATTGATAAACTTATTACTGTAACTTAAAAAAAAACATTAGACGGGTTCTTTATTAACAATATAGCACCTTTTATAAATCTAGTGTCCATAAAATACTCAAACTTTGAATAAAATTGATTCCTTACAAGATAAGTGTAATGCAGTATTTGAAAGAGACAGAGATTATGAGTCATTTTGGGTTTGCCCATTGGATTTTAATTAGACTCGACCCTGAAAAAATTAACAGAAGTATGGTTTTCAGATGAAGCCCACTTCCATTTTAATTAACAATGTTTTAAAAAGAAAATCTTAAACTCTGTTGTTTGGTGAAATCCTGCAGTATTAATGTGGAAAACCATCCAAACTGTTAGAATGTTACATTTAAGTTTGATAAAAGACATCAAAAATCGTGTTCGAACACTGTTAATTTAAAGAGACCTCATTTAGAAGATGTTGTAAAATGACATATGTTATTCTAAACAAAAAATATTGATAACAAATAAGGAAACTGTGACACATGTTTGCTTGACAAAAAATTCATAACAATTTTATTATGTATATCTAATTTTTTTCATATTACTTGAGGCATAAAATTTTTATAACAATTTAATAGTGTAACATATGTTTTGGGACACCCTGTATATTATATGATTATAGAATGTACATTACAAGATTTCGAATATACATCAAAAGATTTCGAGCATACATATGCATTACACGATCATAGAATAAACATCACAAGATTTCGAATATACACCATGCCCAAAACATACATCACACGATAATGTACAAAATACGTTTTTGAATATTTAGTATACATAACAATGTATTTATCATACATCACTGTGAAAAATTATAGAATATACGTCACAAGATATTGAATATACATCACAATTAAAATTTTGAACATACATCACAAATTATTGAACATACATCGCAAGATTTAGAATATACATCACAAGATTATCGAATAAAGCAACGTTTAACATGCTATACCATTACGTCGTGTATTTATGTGATGTGCAACGGCAAGCTTTAATGTCCTTTTTTTTTCCTTCTGCATATATTTTCAACAATAAATGACTCAAATATAGATCGGATTTATTGATTGAAATATTCTATTGAAATACCATTTAAATACATTCAATACTGAACATATATTATGGTTTTAAGTTTTTTTTATTTAATTTCTCCCAGAGTTGAATATAACCCTTTGCTTTACACAGGATCTTTGATAAATTAACATGCCTTTCTTTTTATTTTAGTATGAGGCACTTGTACCCTCTCTGTTGAACAGTAAATCTGAACCTCTGAACACTACGGTAATAAACCCCATTTACAAAATCGACATTTATTCATTAGCAAAACTTTTTGAATGTTTATTATGATTATATTTATAGAGTATATGTGACTTACACCGTCCTCATTACATATATTTAATTAAAATTTCATCTACATGTATTATGATATAGGATAAATCGCATGAAGTACTTACATGTATGTTACAAAATAAGAATTAGGGTTACATATTCATTTAAACCCTAAGCATAAAATTCATAAGTACAGTTTGTTATTTCAGCAAAGATTTTCATGTATAAAAAATCGCCAATGCAGTGTGCTAAATGATCTGAAACTACATGTATATTGCAACTTTTTCCCTTTTGCTGTGTACAGTGAAAAAAAAAACATTGTTTCAGATGGTGCAATTAATTTCACATGAATTCAAGAAAAATTATTAAAAAAAAAAAAAAAAAAAAAAAAAAAAAAAAAATAGCTTGACTACATGTAACGAATGCATGCTGACGACGACGACCCCCCACCCCCACCCCCACCCCCTTAAAAAAATCAGTAGATAGATCCAATCATTTAACATTGACAGGAATGTGAATTAAACGACAAAAAAAATCAGATATGTTCTTTTGCCATATTAGATATTTGACATACTGTAAATCATGCTATTTTCGCTAGAATTTAATTATTGCTTCGGTAAACAATCTGCTCCCGAAAATTATATTCTGGCCATTATTTTATTTGTTAATGATATATTTAGCATGAAAATTTAATTCGCGAAAACAAAGTTCCGCTTATAAAAAAATATGATAAATAATATGTTGACGTTGTGACCGTTAGGGCGAGCGCAGATACTTATCCAGTTTTCATTTAGATTGAACTCGTCAAACCGCACGTGACATTCGGTGCCTATGACTATGGCGTCTTATGATGTCGTTTGCATGAACAGTGCTGATTTCAATCAGTTTATGACTATTTTTTTTCAATGAACAGATAAATTCATTAAATCAAGGCAAGTGTATTTTTCCTTTAATATTTGTCGTTATTCTCGCAAAACGTGGCTTTAGCGTTTGTGAACGAAGCGATCCATTGTGGGTCAAAATTACTGCGGCAAAAAAATTTATGGAATGAAAGTGCAGTAGTAATTTTCTCTTCGCCCAGGCGTTGTCGTTAGAGCTCGCAGTTACGAGCTTCGCTCGCTGCGCTCGCTATTATTTAGATTTTGTGATTGATTGAATGCTTTTATTTTACCTACAACCAGTCTGTTTTTTAAAAGCTGGATAAATTTCTTTTTCTTGCAACCTAGTTGTCTGCTAGGGTAGTACTCATAAACAGAAACAAAAATGAAGGGAAAAACACTGCATGGGCAGTTAAATCCAACAAATCATGCTGTTATATATTCCATTGTTTGCAATTACATATATTTCAATACTATGACTTTATCTCATAAAGAACTGTATACTAGAGATTCTGAAAACATATTATTTACTTTGTTGTTTGCAAAATAATTTACGAAATCTTTTCAGACTAAATATTCTCTAGAGATGAGTATCTTTTACGTCACTGTATGTGAGTCTGTAGCATGCATACAAGAGGACTATAAGAAACTCCCTTCGAAATTAAGAAACAGTCTACGTAAGTTAGCAATTTTTTAAAATGTAGCCGGACAATTTAATTTTTTTGTTAAAGATTTACAACTAACATAATCATATAAAAAGTGTTTTTATTTCTTGTTTGAACAAGAATATTTTTTTTTTTTCATTCATTTCACTTTTATTTCCCCAACTTTGCAAAAATAAATTTTACTCGAATGCATCAATTTGCAAAAGTCTATTTTGCATTTATAAGAAACAAATGTTTATTATTAGGCTATAGTTGCGTTTTTATAGATTGCAGTTTAGATTGAAGTTTTACGTTACGTCACGATCTAGATTGATAGTTGCGCTCAAGGTAAATATATGTAGAACACGCTCCAAACCGCAAGCTTTACGACTGGAGCTTTTTTCCAATTTCTGATTGGTTGCTCGGGCAACATACTATTTCCATGTCAATGTTGATAATATTAGTTGACCAATCACGTAAATTGTTTACGCTGGGTGCATCTGTCGAAAAAATCGTGGCGTTATGCAAAACTTCACACTTTACAGACATTAATAATATTCCATCCCTTCTTTTAGCTGACCTGATGGAAATTAAGATTGAGAGCATTTCTGTTTTGGTTCTTTGTGTGATTGGCTTCTTTTTCATGCTCTTGAACTTTGGAAATTCTTCTCGAGTCGTAACAGGGGGGATAAGTCTGCTTTTGGCCGGTAAGACAATGTCACAGCTTAGCTGGACGTCAATTCTAGTTATAAAGTAATACATACAAAAAATACATATAATATTGAGTACCTATTATCGAATTGAAGTTTTCTTATATCAAGTATTTAATTATCTTTTTTAAAGCTGTTGTAACAGTTGCATTTATTGTGGTTTACCGAATGGGCATGGCAAACGCAACCACAAGCAAAGTTGAAGCTGTCATCGATTCGATCTGGGATTATGATAGTATTTCGATGGACTTCCCTTACTCCCTCATCATTGCCACATTAAGTATTGGCACATCTTTCTGTGGCATTGTGCTTGGCCTCTGTGGAGTTTTGTACTCCAAAATTAGACGACAGCAAACCACAGGCGGTCGAGTGCAGAATCCGTTTACGATCTTCAATCCCAACAACTTTACAATTCTGCGAGAAAGTCAAATTACATAGATGCATCATCTGTACCCTTAAACATATCATGTACATGTACCAAGAACATCCTACTAGAAAATGTACGATGCTTTATCCAAAAGTAATGCCACATTGTCCATATCTTCTATGTTTGGCGTCATATAATATAAAATATACTAAGTAACATATCAAAATATGCACATGTAAAAAAAATCTAATTAACATTGACATTTTGGTTTAATAATGTTGAAATAATTCATTTTATAGCTGTTTCAAACATAAGACATACATGTATATAGGGGTGTCGCAGCGTCACAACTAAACGTCACGTATTGAAGAATATATTTTTGTAGGATGAAAGAGACAAACACATTAATATCTAAGAACGTGCCTTCTGTGCATATGTAATTGGCCATTCATTTAAAAGACAAAATTTACGTCATATTTAATGATAGTTAGAATAAAAATGACGGCATTGTTTTTTTTATCATAAACATTGTGTTTTACTCTGATGCATTGAACAAAGGACGTGTCAAAGTATTGGGGGGGGGGGTCGCAACAAGCTGTAATGCATTTTGCATTTTTACTTTAAAATGGGTAATGAGACAGTTTACTTTGATTATTCAGACTCACAGTGAAAAGAATATATAAAAGTCGTGTTTAAAGATGGTTTTTGGCGACTTTGGGAGGGTTTAATGGGCCATTGAATGATTAGCAAAGGACAGGAAGACCAAAAGATGAGAGGTCGGACGGAAACGTATAGGAATAACTGGTGTCTGATGTTATCAAAAGACATGAGTGTATCTGTTATAGAGGGGGATATGAAAACGTTGTCTCGTGCACTGTTCAAGGAATATTGAGTGACAGAGGACTTAATTATAAAAGGAGTGACTCAAATGAGTTTACGATGGAACATACCAAGAATTCTTTTAAAATAACAAATTTATGAACGTGTTTGTGAATCTCAAATATTTTTTTTCATTGGGACACGATTGAATGTTATTCTCTATTGGGAAGATGATGGCTCGGTTGGGGGTAATATTGAAACAAGCCATCAACTTCTCAGTAGAGAATAGTTTGAATGTATGACAACGTGTATCCATTAAATGACGTTATTGTTATTTAGAGGTGGCGACTACTAAAATCTCACTTTTTATATAAATGCGATCTTTATAAATGTATTAATCATGTTGAATTGAAAATTTTCAGGTTTGAATTGAAATAAATGTAGCTTTCATCATGCCATTTTGTATTTTGTATTTAGTAGCAATTTTATCGAAGTTGCATTAATTTTGATTGATTGATTGATTGTATCTATTGTTGAACGTCCCTCTCGAGAATTTTTCACTCATTTGGAGACGCAACCACATGCCGGTGGAGATTTTATCTTTAACTAGTACTTTTGGCCATTGAGCAGGGAGGGATCTTTTTCGTGCCAGCACCTACTGCGACATGTGGCCTCGGTTTATACGTTCTCATCCGAAGTCTCCATGTCCCACACTGGATTTGGAACCCGTGACGTAAGGATCAACTCCCTACTCCGCGACAGTTGAGTAGACACTCTAACCACTGCGCGAAGGTGAGCATGTTTGATTTGGAGAACAAATATTCCTGTACAATTGCGTTTTTTAAGATATATATTTCAGTTTTTTCATCTTTGAAATTTTAATTTTTTTCTTACTTTATTTTATTCATGATTTGCACGATACCCTGTATACTCAATTGACCTGGACCTAAGACATGTCGTAAGACATAACTCAAGATATGCCAAATTAGTTATAATCTACATGTACGAAGTTCTTAAGATATCTTACAGCTGTTTCACAAAAGAATCTTATCCTAAGTCATTTCTTAAGTTGTGCTATTGAGGCATATTTCTGGCCCCTACATGCAAGATAAGTTATGTTAACATGCAACATATTTATGTCAACATGCAATTTAAATTAATTCTATTGACATGCAAGTTACCAATCTTATAAGAAAATATAATTTAAATATGGTTAAATTTACTTTCTAACGCTTGTATCTGACATTGTGGTTGCAAGATGCAAAGTAATAATGTAGACATGCGACTTATTAAGTTCAATATGCAAGATAATTATGCCAACATGCGACTTATTTATGTCAACATACAAGATCATTATATTAACATGCAAGATATGTATGTTGATATGTAACTTATTATCTTGCATGTTCACATAAATATCTTTTATGTATAAAATGTAACTTGCATGTTTACATAAATAAGTCGCATGTTGACATGAATAAGTAGCATGTTAACATAATTATCTTGATGTTAACATAAATATCTTGCATCTTGCATCTACGATGTCAGTGACGAGTGTGAGAACGGAATTTTACTCATTTTAAAACCAGTTTCTCTTAAAAGATTAGTAACTTGCATGTCAACATAATTATCTTGCATGTTGACATAATTTTCTTGCAAGTTGACATAATTATCTTGCATGTTGACATAATTTTCTTGCATGTTAACATAATTTATCTTGCATGTAGGGGGCAGAAATATGCCACCATATATTGTGCCTTAAAGTGGCATATTACTACCCCCTACATGCAAGATAAATTATGTTAACATGCAACATAATTATGTACACATGCATCATATTTATGTCAACATGCAAGTTAGTTATGTTGACATGCAAGTTACCATTCTTATAAGAAAATATAATTTAAATATGGGTAAAATTACTTACTAACGTCTGTGTCTGACATTGTAAATGCAAGATGCAAGATAATTATGTAGACATGCGACTTATTAAGTTCAATATGCAAGATAATTATGCCAACATGCGACTTATTCATGTCAACATGCAAGATAATTATGTAAATGTGCGACTTATTTATGTCAACATGCAAGATAATGATGTTAACATGCATGATATGTAAGTTGATATGCAGCTTATTATCTTGCATGTTGACATACATATTATTGTATGTAAAAATATAATTCGCATGTTGACATAAATAAGTAACATGTTAACATAATTATCTTGCACGTAAACATAAATAACTTGCATTATATATATGTTAACATAATTTTCTTGCATGTTCACATAAATAAGCTGCATGTCTACATAATTAACTTGCATGTTGACATAAATATCTTGCATGTTTACATAATCATCTGGCATGTTAAAATAAGTTAATCGGTGTCATATAGTGAGACTTCCGCCATAGTGAGACTTCCCCCCGGAAGTCTGGCTATATAGTGAATCCCCCCCCCATAATGACCATAGTGAATCTACCCCCTTCGGTTTTCGGTTTGGATTTTATATACATTGACATAAATAAATATTTATTGTATGCTTTAGGGACCTTTTAACTTTTATAATTTTTATGAAGTATTTTTTAGGATTTGTATTTCATTTTGAAATTAAATTTAAGTGATATTAATGAAATTACATCACTATAAAATCAAATAAGATGGATTTGAGTTCTAATACACTTTAAATCAAATTCTGACTGTCATGCATATTTTAGGAAAGGCACCGGATGCATGGATTAACCCCCCTTTTTTTAATTTATGACCGGAAAAATTGCATGAAAATGTGTGCATCCCCTGCTCATCACACCCATACATCAATTCATACAATTATTTTTTTTTTCATTTTGGTCGTGTTTTAAAAATTATTTATTTAAAAATATCTAATTAAACTTTTATTAAAAAATACAAATCGATGGTAACGACATGAACTGTTATTTCCAACTTGTCTTATGCGAAGCTTTGGAGGATTTGATGTGTGTCTATGATAACCCCAAGACCACGAGCTTGCAGACTTTATTTTGGATCTGACCTTCGAAATTGAAAACAATAAAACATGTGAAGCCAGGCGATATTTACATTCCTGGAGCATACTTCCAATTTGTTGGAAGTTAGCATACTTCCAATTTGTTGGAAGTTTCCGGGCTTGATTTGGATTGATGGGCTTTGGAGATCATCTTGATGACCATCACCAGGCAGCGTCTACTGACTGAACATGAGCATCTCATGAAATAAAAATGCAAATAAAATAAAATGTTTGTTTAAAAAATGTTGTTGTTTTTTTAAATCAAATTTATTGTCTTTACATAAATATAAAATTTATTTTTTTATTTAAAAATATTCCATATCAAATTCATTATATTTGCGAAATATTCATAGGCTAGATCATCATGACAAAGTCAGGAGCGAGGGAGTATGAACGTACCTCCGCGATATTTGGTTCAAAATCCTACTTGTAAAGAGTTACTCCATCTTAATACTAGTTATCTAATTGATTAACTCGCAATAACACACACCGGACGAAGAAAATGAGAAAATGGAAAAAAAGGAATAGACAGAACGAAAAACATGGACTGTATTACGAACGGACAGACAGAATTAAAAAAAATCACGAGAGAAATACATGTACATGTATATTAGTAGAGAAGAAGAGAGAGGGGGGAGGAGATATTCAATAAAATTATGCAAAATACTTATTAAACATGTATATTTTAGTCGTTCCTATATTGTATTTTTTAAAATTCTTCTGTGAGGTTAAATAAAATCACGTGTATGTTCTGAAATACATGTGTTTAATAAAAATGAATCCAAGCGCCTCTGATCCTGAGTTAAATAATCTATTATTTCATGAAATTCGGTGAACTATATATTACTTTTCCAATATTTTTGTTATCAAACCGGGTTTTATCTGCTTATATTTAATATATAAAGTTGTAATAATTTTAAGTTTGTTTTAAAAAAAATGCGTGCATACTGGTTTTCGTCAATTGGAGAAAAACGACCACGGCGCTCAAATCACTGACTCTCTCGTGATTTCTGCAAACTGAATCATGATCAGTTACGGACCTTTCATAAAAATCTGAGATTTATGTGCTGTAGTGTAAATTTTTGTCGAACCACTGATCCATGAAGTCTTTAATATTGTAAACGTCCCTGTGGATAAAGTTAATGAAATATTTTCCCATCAATTTTACATTTCAGCATATCTATTAAATGATGCTTAAAATTATCCTAAAAGTATATAGATTTAAACTTTATGTACATGAAACTTTCGATAAATATAGTTAGGAACTAAGAAAATCATAATTGAG